TCTGCCCTGGAGGTGTAGTCCCCATCTTGGGGGACGACTCGCCACTTTGGGCCAATCACGCCCGCCCCCTGGCCTGCCACACGAAGCTCCATCCGCCGCTTGCTGTTTTCTCTCATGGCCAGCCCTCTCTCGTCTTCTCCTTTTTTCCTCTCCTGCTTTTTTTCTTTTCCCTTTTCCTCCTTTCTGTTGTTCAACAACACACCGCCCTTCCTTTTTTCTTCTTCCCTCTCCCTTTTCGAATTTGGTCCGTCGTCGCTGCTGCTAGTCTTACTTTTTTTCCACATTTCTAGAGATCCTTTTCCTCTCCGGAGTGTTGCATCGTAAAAAGAAAAAAAAAAATCACAAAAAAAGTTCGATATTCAATCGTCCAGCGCACAGTTAACCGTCGGTTGTACCTTCCGCACCACTCAGCACACACTGCACAGCAAAGCACAGCACTCGGCACCATCTATCTCCAGGAGAAGAGTTGGAAACCACCACACCGTCGATTTTCACAAAAGGAACACACACACGCATCGCCAGATACCACAAGACCGCATTTAATTCTTTGTACTTTATTCTGCCGCCTTTCTCTTTTCATTACCGCCTCTGGCACATCGTCACCACATTACCACGCCGCATAATTTGTCCCGACCGCCGAAAAACGCCCCCAAGCGCCATTCCCGATCGCCCATCGACGCCGCACAAACTCAACAAGTCTCGTCCATCGGCAGCCCGTGAAGGATTGTTCCATCAGAGACCGTTGATCGCCGGAAGGGGAGAAACACCCGCTCTTGCGTTGTTCTTTTGCAGCCCAGAGGCCGTAATCGCTTTCGGCGCTCATTCGTTGGCTCCTGCCACAAAGAACCAAAGGTCCGCGCACCCCGCACCGTGGGCTTGGCTCGCCCCTGGGCGCTGGCTGCCTGCTGACATCCCTTTTCAGACAAAGGGCACCTTTCCTGTCGAACATCTTTTTGCGCAACTCGCACCTGCCGTGACGGTGCCAACCCGGTCTTTCTTCACCTCCAGCGCCTGGAACGCTTGGATCCTAGACGGCCTCTCTCTCGTTGTGCGACGGTCGCCGCTTCCCGAAAGCGTCTTCAGCCGCCCATTCGCCAGACCGACCCTTGGGGCGTACCATTCATTCTCGCCTTTGTTTTGCCGTCTGCATCTTTCTGCGTTTAGAAGATTGATTAATACTCGTTCTTTGCGCGACGCCATCATCCAAGCATCGCCAATTCTTACAGTCAGTTTCCCTTTCCCTTCTTATTGCCACATAGCGGCCGTTGGGTTTGGATCGTTGTTTTTAAAGCACGCCGCGTTGCAACGGCATCATTCCCCTACCGCCTGTTTCACACAGAAATAAACTCGACGCGACCAGGACAACATCACCGGCTCAAGTCGATTATCACGTCGAACCTCTCCCGCTCGACTAACGCATAGCATCTCGTCCTTTCGCAGAGTTTTGCCATCCTTCGGCTATTTATCCCGTTTTAATTTGGCCGTTCATCGTGGAACTGCGCCTGTCCTAGCCCTCGGCTACCGCATTCTGTTCTTTTCGAATCCAAGTACTTGACGCTCAAGTCGATTGAGCAATGGACGCAGGCGGTCTCGCTCAGATGTCCCAGGCAAACAACTTCGCCATGCGCCCGGCCGGCGGCCTGGCCTCGCGCCGTGGTGGTGGCGGTGTCGCGCCTCTGTCATTCGATGCCCTCAAGTCTCCCGTCGAGCCATCCGCCCCGACTCCCCGCACCACTGCCAGGGCTCACCTACTCGCAGGCTTGCGGACTGCCCCCAAGTCTGCGACGGCTGCCAGCTTTGCCGCCTCCGGAACTGTGACCGGAGTGCCCACCCAGGCCCGCAACAGGAACTCCATGGCTGCTAGCTACGGCCATGACTCTATCCTTAATGGCCCAAGGACCTCGATCCCCACTGGCTTTGCCCTTCAGCAACAACAGCAGCAAGCCTTTGCGGGCTATGCTCAGCAGGCTCAGCAACAAGCCCAGCAGCAGGCTCAAGCCCAGGCTCAGCAGCAGGCCCAGGCCCAAGCTCAAGCTCAGGCTATCCAGCAGCAGCAAGCTCAAGCTCAGGCTATTCAGCAGCAGCAGGCTCGTCTCCAGCAGCAGCTCTACACCGCTGATCAGATTCTCGCTCCTCCCGAGATCCACATCGAGGAGCAGTCACCTGAGAACATGGATCCTGCCGTCTACGCCAACCTCGTCAACACCAACATGTACCTTGCTCAGCAGCAGCAGCGCCTTCAGCAGCAGCTCATGAGCCTGCAGGCTGCCCAGCAGCAGTTCCAGAACCTCAACCTCAATGGACAGTCGGGCTACCAGAACATGTACCAGCAGCAGCAGCAGCAGCAGCAACAGGCCCATCTCAACATGCTGATGCAGGGTATGACCACCGGTCAAGGCACCATCTACACGGTGTTTGACCCCGCCACCGGACAGAACTCGTACTACCTTGACCAGAGCACCGCTCAGAACCAGCAGTACGACCAGTTTAACGGTGGTTACCAGTCTCAGCAGACGCCGCGCGTGCAGGTGTCTCCCCCACCGGCCGAGATGAACAATGGCTTCCGTAACAACTCGCCGCCCCGCAGGTTCGAGTCTCCCGAGCAGCATGCTCCTCTGCCGCCCCCGAGCGCCAATGCCTTCCGTCGTGGCCACAAGAAGTCGGGGTCGGTCTCTAACAAGGATGGCTCTCTCTCCGTCTCGCTCCTTGAGTCCGGCTCCAAGACCCCCGGCCCCAAGACGGCCTCGTTCCCGCTCACCCCCTTGACTGGCGGCTACGGTCCTGGCCAGGCTCGCGCCGGGGAGCATCCCGTTCGCCAGCCGCGTGGCCCTCCCAGCTTTGACGAGCTTCGCACCAAGCCCACCTCCAAGCACGACGGCAGCAAGAACTTTGCCGGCCGTACCCGCCGCTCTGCCCTGAGCAACCTTGTCCGCGCGGGCATCACGCGCCGCGAGGTCAAGAGCACCGGCAGCTCGGGCACCGCTAGCCCCATCTCGGAAATCGCTGAGGAGCTTCCCACCCCCCTTACTGAGGACGGTGAGTCTGTTTCCGGACGCAGCGGGTCCGGCAGCCTCAACGGCGACGACGATGACTGCGCCCCTCCGAGCTCCCGCACCTCGACCGGCAGCTGGGGCGCCATTGGATCGGACCGCCCCAGCTCCCGCCAGAAGAAGGCCCGCCAGCAGAGTGTTGACAGCCTCAGCAACGCTAGCGACAACGAGAGCGGCAGTGTAGGAGGATCGTCCTTTGCCAGCGTCTTCAAGGGTACCAGAAAGCCCCAAGGCAACGAGGCAGTCGGCCAGCGCAAGGCACCCATGATCGTCCTGGGCCGCGGCGCCGAGAAGCGCAAGACTGTCCCCGGCGCGGTCCCAGTCGCCTAAGCTTCTGGACAAGCCAAGATGTGGAGGGGTTTCCTTGTGGACTTTCACGAACGGAGTTCTTTTTTTCTTGGGGACTGTTCTTGCATTGGCCTTTTGTTTTCTCATCTCATTGCCACCGTTCCTTTCACAGCCAAGACGTTTTCTTACATAACGTAATTAACGATCATGCCTCGCGCCCACGTCTCTCATTCCTTCGTTCAGTATCTCTCTCGCGATATCGCGCCTCCCCTCCATAGTGGACGACAGTTCCCGCGCCGGCCTGGGGGGTCGATCATGTTCATTTCGCCCTGGAACGAATCAGAGCAGGTGTCTGTAGCCTGGCTACTGGGCCTCGTGGGTAGATCCTTCGAGTCCTCCGACCACTCTGGTCTTCGCTTCCTGGTTCGTTTCAACTTGTGGTGGATCTGGGTATTGGGGAATAAGAGTCGATACTTCATTTATCTTGGGACTTGCACATTTCCCACGTCAAACGAGGATCCGCCCTTTCATCCATGAATTGTTTCTTTCTCGCCTCATTCGTTCATTCGGTTTTAGTCGATGGACGCCTCCATTTTTGCTCGTCCTGCTCGCGTATGGACCCTCTCGCTGTTGACTTTTTTTTTTATCGTTTCTTTGCTCTGGTTTGATATTTGCGTTTTTGGGAACCGGTTGGTTCACACGGTGGTCGCTTTGGCATCATGCCTGCAATCTCTCGAGACTTCTTTTCTTTTGGTTTCTCCCGGCAGCGGCCGAGGGCATACATTGCCCTCCTGCAGCACGGCCTTCAGAAATGGTTTGAAGTAGTGGGATGGCCAGTGACAGGGACGGTGGCGAGCGATGGGCCTGCGACTATGGTGTTTCGCGAGGCTGCTCTGCCATTTTCTTTCTTTTTAACTACGAGTTTTACCGTCCCGTCGTCCATAGACAAATACAATAGCCATGGTCATCTACCTTGATGCAACTCTTGTTTTACGCGATGTAACTTTCCTGTATCTTGGTTGCCCGGGATTTCGGGTTGCAAATGATAGCATACAAGGATAGACAGACGTGTTCATCAAACATGCTCGCAGGGAAGAAGGCCAAGGTCGATGAGACCCCACGGGCAATTTCCGAAACCAAGGCACGCCTCTCAAGCCTTGTTGTCCGACTCACGCATCAGCTTGTCAAAGTGGCGGAACGCGGCGCGCCTGGGCTCCTCGACGGCGTGGAGCTTGTCGCGCGTGGGGCCGACGATGATCTCGTCCCGGTCCTCGTCGTCCTCGTCGTCGGCCGTCAGGCCGGCCCAGGCCTCGTCGGTGAAGTCGGCCAGGGCCATGCCGAAGTCGCCGAGCCCGGCGGCGACGAGGTCGGGCTGGCGCGAGTGCAGCTCGGTCCTGACGGCGGGCGGGACGATCTCGACGACGCGGATCCCGGGGCGGCGGCCGTTTCCTGAGGAGTGGTGGTGGTGGTGCCGCAGCTGGGAGCGCAGGGTCCAGGCGAACGAGTGCAGCGCCGCCTTGGTGGCGCAGTAGCTGGCGCAGCGGGCCATGGGCACCAGGGCGAGGCCCGACGAGACGAGGACGATGGCGGCCGGGGAGCCGGACGCGACGCGGAGGGAGAGGTGCGGGAGGAAGTGGGCGGTTGTCTGGACCGGGGAGAGGTAGTTGAGGGCGGTCTCGGACGCGACGGTGGCGGCCAGGTCGGCGGCGGCGCCGCCGCCGTCGTCGGTGAGGGCACGGGTGAAGTCGGTCGTGTTCTGGACGCCGGCGTTGAGGACGATGCAGTCGAGGGAGGGGTACTTGGTCGTGATGCTGTCGTGGTTGTTGTTAGTTGTGTCCCATGAGGGTGGTAAAGATGTTACCCTAGGTAGGTACAGTATATAGCACGAACTCCTTGGCCCAACCCTCCAGACTTGCCAGGTCGGCCACGTCGTGCTGCTCGACGGCGAGCTTCTCGGGCCCGTGCCTGGCGGCCAGCTCGTCGAGGCGGTCGCGGCGCCGGCCGACGGCGACGACGAAGATGCCGTTGGCCACCATGCGCTCGGCCAGGGCGCGGCCGATGCCCGACGTGGCGCCCGTGACGAGGACAGTCTTGTACGGGAAGGGCATTGTGGGGTTTATGGCGTGGCGTTTGGCCCGAGAGTCGGGGGGAACGTTACGGGGAACGACGATGTTGGTGTGTTGTGCCCGGTCTGATGCTGCGCTGGGTAATTACATCATGATGTCGGCGTCTCGGCGGATGGGATGGCGGTTACCCCGCCTTATTGATTTGAGGCTGCTTTCTTATCTGATGGGCTGGTTCGGATGCTTCCCTAATGGAACAGCATGTGCTGCGTGCCGCCCCATGCTGGATAGGTAAAAAGACAAGCAACAAGGGCCAGGTCATTGTCTATCGATGGCCTCGCCATGTTCTCGCAGCATGCGCCACAAGGCATGGCTCAGAGGCTGGAATTACATAAGATATTACGTTCTTGGCTGAACTTTTGGCTCGGCGCTCACGTTTTAGCAAATGCCAACACCGATAAGATGAGCCAGGAGCGGAGGAGTCGCAGGAGTCATGGCGGCCTCGGGCCTGTTCTGCCCCGGGGGCCTCAATTGACGGCTAGCAGAGTGTCTATCGCAGTATTTCCTGCCCTCGATTGCGTGCTTTGCTCTGCAGCGGTGAGGCCTGTCTTGTGGGAGTGTGAGACGGGCGAAGGAGATTCTGATTTGCGCGGCCAGCTCACAAAGCCCAGCACGGCCAAAGGTTCAGGGCAAGGGGTGGATGACCAATGAGGTGGGGCGGTGGGCGCTATCTTGTCCCAATGCTGGGCCTGTGACCTGTGGCTCCCCTGAACTTTTGGGGGCAGAGGGTTCTCCCTGTGCTCAATGATCCCAATAAAACCTGCGTGCTCACTGTCCTGTGCTGTGTCCTGGCGACTGCCCTCGCACGCGCCAGTAAAACCATAGCCGCCGACGCAGCGAGACTAAAACCCGACCAGGAAAACAAGACACGGGCGAGAAGCCGCCGGAGCAGCACCCGCCAGACACGCTCGGTTGGGGCCAGCTTGATGGCGAGTCCCATGACTGCCCCTGCAGCAGCAAGACGTCATTGTCCGCCATCACGGGCTCCAGCGCAGACGCAGGCGCAGGCACATGCCGTGGCCTGTCCGCAGCCCTTCCCGACACCGGCCCCTCCCCTGACAGGAGGCTGAACGAACCGCCGCCACCCTCCCTTGCGAGCCATTGCCTTTTGTTGTCATCTTTTACCTAAACTAGACTCGACGCGGCACACGCTGCTGATCCCGATCCCGGCTGCTCGCGTCGCAACGCTTGCGCTGTCTCGTCTGGCGCTGCCAGCCCCAGAGCATAGCCTCGCCGCCGCCAACACCACCTCCCTCCAAACCGCCATGGACGACCGACGCCCCGGGCTCCTACGTCCGACCGAAGGCCGCTCCGGCACCCCCCTCCTCTACAAGCCCGACCGCGACCCTGACCGCGGGCGCACAAACTACTCGAGCCCGCAGCGCCGCGGCTCGCCCGGCCTGGTGACGGCCTCGTCGTCCGACGCGGCGCCCCTGACGCCCCGCTCGGCGACCACGCCCATGATGCCTCCGCTCTCGCGCCGGTCCACGCTGCGGTCGCGCTCGCCGCCGTCGGCCGCCGCGTCCATGGCGGCGCGGCGCAAGTACACGTACGCGGGCGTCTTCCTCGTCATCTCGCTCGTCTCCTTCACGGTCCAGACGGAGCTGGCGTCGGTGGTGCAAAAGGCCGGCTGGGCCAAGCCCTACTGCATGCTCTACCTGACGCACGGGTCCTGGTCCATGCTCTGGCCGGTGCAGCTCGCCATCCTGCGGCTGCAGAAGCGCGACGTGCCGTGGCCCGTCTTCTGGCGCCGCCACGTCTGGCTCATCCGCTCCACCGCCGTCATGGTCGAGCGCCAGAACCTGGACCTGCCGCGCGGCTACGGCGAGCAGCGCTTCAGCCCCTGGCGCTACCTGGCCCGCACCACGGCCGTCGTCACCACGTCCCTGACGGTCGCCGGCCTGAGCTGGTACATCGCCGTCAACATGACCACGCCGAGCGACCTGACGGCCATCTACAACTGCAGCGCCTTCTTCGCCTACGCCTTTAGCGTCCCGCTGCTCGGCGAGCGCCTCCGCCTCGGCAAGAGCATCGCCGTCGGCATTGCTATTGTCGGCGTCATGGTTGTTGCGTACGGTGATGGAGGTGCCCGTAATCCTCCCCCCGTGCACGGCGCGCCCATCACCTCTCCGGGCAGAGACGGGGCCGACGCCGGCGCCGCCTCCCTGCTGGCCAGGGCGGCGACGGCGGGGCCCGGCGAGGACCCCGGCATCCGGTTCCTGGGCAACCTCATCATCGGCGGCGGGTCCGTCCTCTACGGGCTGTACGAGGTGCTGTACAAGCGCTTCGCCTGCCCACCCGAGGGCTGCTCGCCGGGGCGCGGCATGATCTTCGCCAACACGTTCGGCAGCCTGATCGGGCTCTTCACGCTCACGGTGCTGTGGCTGCCGCTCCCCTTCCTGCACGTGCTCGGGATCGAGACGTTTGAGCTGCCGACGGGCGACGTCGCGTGGTACCTGCTCGTCAGCGTCGTCATGAATGCCACCTTTGCCGGCTCGTTCCTGGTGCTCATCAGCCTGACGGGGCCCGTGCTGAGCAGCGTGGCGGCGCTGCTGACCATCTTCACGGTGGCGCTGGCCGACTGGGTCGTCAAGCGCGAGCCGCTGAGCGGGGCCGCCGTCGCGGGCGGCGGCATGATCATGGTGGCCTTTGCCATGCTCAGCTGGAGCACGTACCGCGAGATGGCCGAGGAGGAGGAGGAGAAGCGCAGGGCGGTCGACATGACGGACAATGACACGGACGACGAGGAGGATGAGGATGAGGAGAACGTCTAGAGCGGAGGATTTTTCACTTTTTTTTTTCTTTTCTTTTTTCTTTTTCTTCTGGGCCTTACCATGGCGCATCTTATAGAACATCTACACACCGATACAGGATAGAGGCATTGGGCTAGGCGGCACGCCCGAAACCACACAACACAACACAAGGCAACACAACACAAGACAACAAGAACAAAAACAACACGGGCTGGCAACATATAGAAGCGGTGACGGAAGGGTCTGGAAGAGGCTGGCTGGGAGGCATTGAGCCTGAATTTTGTTTATGCTCGGCCAAGCGCTCCGAGACACCCATTCTACAGGGCGTTAGTTGGATACAATTCAGCATCTTGCAGCGCTCTTCTGTGTGGGAATCCCTGGAGACGGCTTGACACGTGAGACACTTTAAGGGCCCCTGTCACGGCAACGTGCCCCACATGGCCAGGTCACATTGAGCGGGCGGCTGCCATGCCGTGCCGATGCAACCACCATGCACGTCCGCCGCCCCTCAACAGAGCCCATTTGACGCGGGCTGGCTCCTTGACCTGTTCGACGAACAGCTGTGATGCCATAGGTAGGTAGCTCCCAGAGACGCCATTACGCCATTAAACCTAGAAGACAGCTGGGCGAGATAAGCCTCTGCCGCCGCCGAGACAAGCACCTTGGGGCTCTCTAACAATTGAACTTGTGCCTGGTCAAGTCCACAGCTAACCTGTTCGCCAAGTCTTCCCCCCCTCAGTCCTCGAGGTCAACCCCACGAACAAGAAAGCCCCAATGGCCGAGTCTCCAACCCCTGCCCTGCCGGCCAGGGAGCGGTCCGCCGCCCCTCCCCCCACGGCCATCGAGGACCTGCCCAACGAGCTGCTCTCGCACATCTTCACCTTCCTCGATGGGCCCGCCGCCCCCTCGGACGCCCGCCTGCACGACCAGCCCAGCGCCCGCCTCTTTGCGCCCGCCGCCGGCGACCTCCCCCCGCCGCCGCAGCAGCTGCTGCCGCTCAAGAGCGCCTCGGCCGTCAGCCGGCGCTGGCGCGCCATCTCGCTGCCCGTCCTCTTCCGCCACGTCGTCTGGCCCGTCGACCGATGGGAGCTGCTGCTGGTCGAGCAGGAGGCCGACCGCGTCGCTGCCGTGCCGCTGCTCGATTTCGTCAGGACCAACGGTCTTGGGCCCTCGGTCCTGACGCTGACCATGGTCGTGGGCGACAGCCTCGCCGGCATGTACCGGCTGCAGGCCGAGGACGACGACGACGACGACGACGAGGACGTGACGGACCGAGTGCAGGAGTCCCCACGGCAGCAGCAGTGTGGCGACGAGGACGACAGTCATCAGGACCAGGAGGACAGCAGCAGCCGCCGCGTCTCGCGCGTCGTGGATGACCAGCCCGAGCCGGAGCGGTCCGTCACGTACAACGAGGACAACAACTGGCTGTGGGACGTCATCTTGGGGCTCGTCGACCCGCTGCGCCTCACGCTCGTGGCGCCGCCGCGCATGCTGGCGTCGCTGCTGTCGCGCATGGTGTTCCTGGGCGACGCCTGCAGCTTCGGGCCCTCGCTGCACCTGCTGTCGCTGTCGCGCGCCCGCCGCGGTGGGTCGGCCCCGGCCCGCGGCGCAGCTGTGGGCTGCTCCCGCAAGGGTAAGGAAAAGGAAAGGGAAAGGGAGGCGACGCGCCCAGGGCAGCCCTCGTCCTCTTCCGCCCCGCCGAGGCAGCAGGGCCTGCGACGCGTCCCCTGCCGGCTCTTCACCGCGCGGGCCTGGACGTCGGTGCTGCTCAACGAAGGGTCCTCGGCGCGCGTCTACTCGGCGCCCGAGTTCTACACCAAGCGGCCGCCCTCCATCCTAGATGCGCTCCTGGGCGCGGGAGAGTTCCCCAACGACGAGCGCCTCATCCCGCCGCGCGTGCGCTCCCTGTCGTACGTGGCCGTGTTCCCACTCTCGGCCCACTTCGCGACGCTGGTGCGCCACCTGCCGCCCCTGGACCGGCTGTTTGTGCAGGTCGTGCCGCGCGACGACGACGACGTCTTTGGCGACGTGCTGGAGAGGACCAGGCGGCGGCTGGGGAGCAGGCAGCGGCCCGTGGACCCGCAGGACCTGTGGATCGAGCGCAACGCGGCCTACAGCCTCGTGATCCGCGCCATGGTGGACGGCCGCCGCAGGGGCTACTGGCGCCAGCTGCGCGAGTTCGAGTCGGGCGACGCCGCGGACCGCGAGGCCTGGGAGCTGGCGGTGCAGTACGTGCGCATGGCGGGGCGGGCGTGGCGCGTCGCGGGAGATGGGGTGTTTTGCCGCCGCGAGGGGTATGAAGAGGAGGGGGACGATGGGGGTGGTGGTGGTGGTGGTGATGATGACGGCTATGAGGATGGTCACGACGATGATGATGAAGATGATGTTGAAGATGATGATGAAGATGATGATGAAGATGATGATGACCATGATGGTTATCACGGCGGGTTCGGTGGCATGCTGCCGCTCATCGGCGAGGACGGCCCCGAAGACGACGATGACGACGAGTCCATCGTCGAGATCATCGAGATGCACGGCGGCGGCGGCGGCAGTGGAGGCGGGGTTGGGGGGAGCGGAAACGGAGGGGCAGGGTCCGCGCATCAAGGGGGTGAGGAGTCGGACGAGGAGGATGAAGCGTCCGTTGCCGACTCGCCATTCCTGTCAGTACCGTGATTTTCTCTTTTCTACTTGTTGGAACCGTGGGGAAAGACGTGGGTTTGTGTCGCTTGTTTCATTTGGGTGGCTAATATTAAAGACGGCGGCGTACGAAAAAGGAGCGGTCGGCTAAGGCGCATCGCCTTCAACGGCACCGAGAGGCTGCCCGTGTCGAGCCGGTATTTTTATTCCGACTGACGGGGAGCTAGAGAGTTTGATCTCGGTACCTTTCAGTTGTTTATACATGTCTCTAAGCGTGATGGGTATGAGCTTTCTCAAGGCCATGTTGCTCTTGCTTTTTGTTGTTCAAGGTCTGTATTACCTTAGTGCTCGGAAGAGTCCTGTTGGTGGTGGACAAGGATGGTTGTCTTTTTATGTAGCCGAGGTTATCCCCAGATCACGAAAGACTCGTCCCTCCCCCTCTCACGATTGGGGGACTTGTCATCACATTACTCCATGTGTGTCATGTGTACTTCTGGTCCTTCCGGTCGTGAATGCGCACACAACCGGACCGGCTGGATCCAACGCTGCTGCTTGAGCCCCGGCTTCTTCTGGCTACTCTCGCACCGGTCGAATATCCCCGATCAATAGCTCGTGGTAAACCAACACTGCAAAGATGGCAATGACCTTGACTCATAGGAATCCTGTTTTATAATTCTACTGCTTACACTACACCAAGTCCGCATGGGTCCTTAGGCAAATAGCCCACCCTCGCCCGCGTTTTTCTTTCTCTTTCTTTCTTTTTTGTTTTGTTTTACCAACAACGGCCCATCGGCCGCCAGAGCTCCTTGCTCCTTGCTCCTCCTCCTCCTCCTCCTCCTCCTCCTCCCCTAGTCCGAATACGGCGCCCGCAGCTCCTGCCACCCGGCCGCCACCAGGCTCCGGCCGGGCGTGTCCACGTCGCCCACGCCCTGCCAGTAGAACAGGCCGGCGAGCCGGTTTGCGCGGGCGTAGCGCGCCTTGAGGCGCACCGTTTCCGGCGTGTCGAGCGACACGAACCCCATATTGTTGCCGCCACCGCCATCGTTTTCGTCGACGTAGCACGCCGCGCCCGCCTCCTCGTCCACGCGCGCCAGCCCGTCCACCGCGTCCGCGGCCAGGTCGCGGTAGTCGACCTCGGTGGCGGCCGAGTAGGCGTCCCCGGGGCCCCGGGCCCCCGCGAAGCACCGCGCGTAGGCGGGGATGCCGAGCGCCACCTTTGATGGGTGCACGCCGTGCGCGATCAGGTATGATACGCCCGCCTGGCCCGACGGCGACTGCTGCTGCTGCGGGTCCGACGGCGGCAGTGGCGGTGGTGCGCGCAGCTGGGCCTGGTGGCCGGCGGCCGGGGTCCAGGGGCCCGAGAAGTCGTACGACATGAGGTTGAGGTAGTCGATCAGCGGCGCCAGGTGCGCGAGCGGGATGTGGCGCAGCGCCCACTGGCCGCAGGGGAGGGCCGTGGCGAGCACGTAGCGCGGGGCCGGGAGGGCGTCGCGCAGGGCGTGCATGAGAGCGAGGTAGTCGCGGCCCTGGGCGTCATTGGCGGGCTGCTCCCAGTCGACTGTGTGGGGTCAGTAAGCTGATCGGGATGGAGGGGGAGGGGGAGGGGCCAGGGGTAGGTTTGGCTGCAAAGGGCTGCTCACTGTCGACGCCGTCAAAGCCGTGCGTGTCGACAAAGTTGCGCGCCTGCGCCGCAAAGGTGCTGCGGGCCCGCGAGCTCGCGGCCAGGGCCGGGAACGGGCCGCTGCCCTCGCCGCCGCCAAAGGTCGCGATCGTCTTGATGCCCGGGTTGTCGCGCTTGATCTGGGCCACGGCGGCGATGCAGCCGTTGACGCCGTCCACGTCGATGCCCAGGTCGGCCCATTCGTCATTGAGCTGGCGTTGGTGAGGTGTGCTGGTAAGCATTTGCTCGTCGCATTCCGTCTTTGGAGTAGGAGTGGGAGAGACGGGTACGTACCTTGATCTTGCCGCTCTCGGTGACTCTGGCGCGGGTCTGCCGTTAGTGTCTCTACCTGTCTGTCTCGGGAGCACGCGTAGCTCTGGGAAGAAAGCTCTTGGCTGACGTACCCGACGAATGCGTAGTAGATGTGCGTGATGCATTTGACCTGCAGGGCAGAGGGCGGCAGGTCTTTGTAGACGCGCCAGTTGGGGTAGTAGACTGCGTTGATGTATTGCCTAGGCATGTCGCTGCTGTTGCTGCTCTGGCCTGTTTTAGGTTGAAGGGTCTGAAGGTAAGAAACGAGAGGTAGCTGAAGACTGGCCTGATGATATGGCTGCTGGGCACAAGGGTGGTATGTCTACACGACGACGGTCAAGTTCGAGGGGCTGTGTCTCGGACCATTTTGCCTAGCGTTCCACAAACTCGGGGCGGTGCCCTTGGCTGGGACCCGAGAGCCCAATGGGAAGCGTCGACGTCGAGGCCACATTCCTCTACTATCCGTATTCCGACCGCGGCTGCTGTCCGCCATCTATCGTCCCTGGTGGGTTGGATGCACCCTTGTGATGGAGGCAGGCATGACGGAGGCTACGGAATGGAATCGGGTGGGTATGGCAGCGGATATCGCCAGGAGCTGCGACTTACAAATTGGAGGAACCTCGCGCTCCGTATTTAGAGTTCAATGACGATTAGACACGGGCCGTCGGGGTTGGTTGCGTCTAGCCCATACGGGAAACGACAAGGAACACGCAAGGCATCAGGCAATCATCAAGGCAGAATCCAAGAGTAGACGATAGTAGATCCCATTGGAAGCGCTATCATAGAGAGGTAGGTACAAAAGGGGCACAAAGATGAAAACACACCATGCGTTCCAGTTCCGGAAATATTTACAGGTTTGAAAAGAATACGCGCCGTCATCAGACAGAGGCGTCGAGATTCAGATGTTTTTTTTGCACCGTCCATCACCGAGTGGTGATGGCGGCGCACAGAAAGGGGGAGCGCTTGGCCTTTGCCTGCCTTTCGAGGGTGGCGCTCGCACCACCCCGGTTGTTTTTTGGTTTGGAGGGATGTCGGGGGATGGATGCGATGGTCGCACGCTCTTTACTGAGACTGCTCAGCCATGCGGAGCTCCTTGGCGTGGCGGCGGGCCTTCTTGTTGCACTTGGGCTTGCCGGACGCGACGGGGGCAGCGGCGGCGGACGAGCTGCCGGCGACAGGGGCGGAGGAGGCGGTGGGGAGGCTGGCGACAGGGGCGGAGGTGGTGGTGGGCATGCCGGCGACGGGGGCGGCAGACGAGGTCGGCTTGGTGGCGGCGGGCAGCGAGGTGGTGGGCTTCTGGACGGGCTGCTGGACGGGCTCCGTCTCATTGGCGGCGGCGGCGCCGCTGTTGCCGCCGGTCCAGACGGCCGGGCCGGGCATGGGGTAGGGCTTGAAGCCGTTGTAGATGCTGAAGTTGAAGGACGGGTCGTCCTTCTTGTAGCCGCCCGGGAACTTGATCATGGGGCCCGGCTGGCCGTTGCCGCCGCCCGTGACGCGCACCTGGGCGCAGCTCATGTAGAACTCGGCCTGGCCGAAGTGGGCCTGGTGCAGGCCGATGTGCTCGACGCGGACCAGGTAGTCGCCGTTGGGCACGTCCTTGGGCAGGCGGAACTCGATGACGGACTTGTCGTACGAGCACCAGGCGTCGCGCGTGAAGTCCTTGGACTTGTCGCACACGCCGTCCTCGTACACCTTGAACCAGTCGCCATCGCCCTGGTACTTGTCGACCGTCGTGGGCGCCTTGGACAGGTAGACGGAGCTGGGGCCCGGGTGGCCCATGGCGCCCACGGCCAGCTTGAAGCCGAGCTTGTCGCCCGCCTTGACGTCGGCGATCTTGGTCCGGGACTGCGACTGGAACGCGCCCACGTTGCAGCGCATCTCGGGGCCGTCGGGAGTGGCGTTGTCGCGCAGGCCAGCCCACTTGGTCGGGTTGTACTTGGCCTGGCGCGTGTTGAGGAGCACGTACTCGTCGTTGCGGGTCTCGACGTCGTTGATAATGAGCTTGTTGAAGAAGTAGTGGGCCGAGGCCTGGTGGGCCATGGCGAGGGCGGTGGCGAGGACGGTGTACTTCATCTTGGCGGTTGAGAGTGTTTGTTGTTTTTTTGCTGGCAGGAAAGGCCTGAAGAAAAGGGATCTGTATCTGGGGCTGGAGAGAAGTAAAGGTCTGGCCTGTGAGAATGAGAGTACTGGCTCTTACGAGAAAGAGAGTTGGAATCAACAGAAGCCGGAAGGCGAAGGAATGACTAGGGTGAAGGAACTGGAAAAGGAACGACTGTGAGTACGCTTGATGGTGCGATGGGGAGAGAAGATCTAAATCCAGTCCAAGCAGCAGAGGAAGCACGACTTATATATCTTGATTGTTTCCAACCAACCCCCCCTTGATCCTCCCGCCTCGACACACTCTCTCCCTGCCCCTCCATCGCCAAAACCCTGGTCCGCGGGTAGACAGACGCTGGCGGCACGTCGCTGGCTGGCAGCAGAAGCCGTGGGGCCACACACGCCCTCCCACCGCCCCCGACTGCGTCCTGTTATTCCGGAGAATTTGAGCGTGGGGCGGGAGGAAGGGCCAGGGGTCGTCTGGAATATCGGACGGGCGCCATGCACCTCGTCCCGCAGCAGCGGCGGCGGCTCCGCTCAGAAGGATCGAGGGCCCTGCATGGACCCCTGTCAGACACGCTGGACGGAGTGCTGGGCACTGGAGCTGACTTTCTAGCCGGGCCATGGTGAGAGACGACTCTGCAGCTGCTGTCGTTTTTGGCCACTATCTGGAGACGCAGAACAAGCATCAAGAGCCGAAAGTTCGTCCCTTCTGGCTACCATAACATTGGGACCTACGGCACACCCAGAATGGAGAAGAACGGGAAAAGGCTCAGCTGTACTGTGGTACATTGTACCGTAGCATTTGGCAGTGTAGCCACACGACGGGTACCCGCCCGTCTGAACCCTACCCCAGACGTCGATCCCTTTCGTCCCATCCCTTGGATTTGCAGGCAGGCGGGGGGACAGCACTGCAGAAACCCGCGTGATTTTTCTCTGCCACGGAATCTTCACAGACCACCAAAAGGAGCAACCCGGACTTTTGGCCCGTTAAAAAACCGCCAAGATGGCAGAACCAGCATCTTGAAACCACCGGAGCCGCCTGGCCAGATGCCCCACCCAGTCCTCGGTTAGCCTTGACACTGGGGTCACCAATCTCGCTGCTCAACGTCATGTCGCCGCCGTGCCGGCCGCCTGATTGGTGGGATTCCAGCGAGCGTTGGGCTGCACGTTCTGTTGGAGTCTTGGGGATCCCAGGCGTTTAAAAGCAAATGGGGAGGATCGCTTCAGGGGCTGCCAGCCGGGGCTGCAGCAATGCGCCGCTCCCGCGACCTCGTATGTACTAATGTTTGGTGTTTGGTGTTTGACATTGATAGACAGCTCCTATCGGCTGGCTGTCTTGGCCGTTTTCTTCGCTTCGCTGTCGTCCGCTGTCGACTGGGGATGGAATTGTCGGCTTTGGGGCCTTGCGCTCCAGTGCCATAGAAATGCTTCATATCCATGCCGTCCATGCTGCTCGGACACAAAATTGTGCGGTGGTTCAACACTACGTACTTCATCGTATTATGAACTCACGATCCATAATCCCCCGTGATATCGCCTGGACCCGTCTGCTGCCCCGTTGTATTCCAAGATCTTCAAACCCCGCGCCTACGGTACAGATAAACGGTGCGGGGACTACCACGCTTGGGTAATGCTTACTAGCCTGTCCACCCCCTCGGTAAGCGCAGGGATATATTAACATGTCGACAGCCTCGACCTTGCCACTCGCCCGCCTGCCCAATAGTCCGCAGACCAGCGCCTGGGTCATGTGGGGGCCGAACCAGAGAAAGAGGCCTGTCTCCGCTCACCGAGGCACGCCGTTGACGGCTGACCTGAAACTGTAATTAGGCTTGCGAACGCCTCCAGGGAGCCCGTGGCTTAAACACACGCCATTCCTCCGACTGGGGTGGGAACTACACCTGGTTGTTCCGTGGAATCACAGCCTTGCTTTCAGATAATGCTATTCTCCTTCGACGTTACAGTGATTTCCCTAAAGCAAGCGGAGCTGGCCTCGCTCGGGAAGTGCCAGCAAGCCAAGATACGGGATATCTTTCGAATCTGCCGCCAGCTGCCGCCGCCTCCCTGCTCATGTCCTTGCTCTCTCCTCCTTAACCATGATATCGAAGCAAAAGGGGCTGGGGGCGGGATTACTAGCCTCCCAGCTTTCTGCATCTATTTCTCCGTGCATTTCTCCGCCCATAGCATCCAAGCATGTCGACAGCCCAACCTCACCGCTCATGCCTCGCGGTAACTTGGCAACATGCGCCTGCCCATTGACCCTGACCGCCGGCGTTGCTCTCACTGCTTGAATCGCGTGCATAAGGGCGAGGTCGGCCCCAGGACTGCATCCGCACCCGCGCGGCCGGAGGAGCGAGAATCGGTGATGCTAGGCTTGCGATGAACACTAGGAGAGCCTGGACTGAGCGTCGCCTTGCACGGTTGCCGTGTAGAATCAGTGTGCGGTGCGCTGGATCATTGGCAGCTTTGAGCTTTTAACGAGGTTAACGGAATATCCAGTAGGGAGTTCACCTTGTAGATACCCGCGTTTGATAGTTGCTTTGTACATGCCCCGTGAGGCCAACCTCCTTATGCCGTTGGTGTGCTAGTACCCGATGTCGGCTTGATATTTTCTGGCTATTAAAAAAGGGGGAGTGTTATATCACCCCGCGCGTATTACTATTTAACCCCAAAATAGCGGAGTCACCGTGCAACACAAACTGTCAAGGTACCGCGACTAGTTTGGGTGGGGGATCCGTGCTTTTCTGTAAGGGGATCTGACAGGGAGGCGGTCAGATCACCGCCACAGCGCCACAAGGGGTGCTTGAGCCAACAGGCACGAGCCTCCCCGCGGGGACCCATGAGCCTCAGGCCACAAGGGTCCGTCACGTGACAAGGGCCAAGGAGGCCATGGGTCAAAGCCAGCTTGTGGGAGGCAATTCAGGCTAATTCCTCCCCAAGCTGAAGTTGTTGTTTCTACCCTATAGTGATATAGGACTTTAGACCCAATCAGACTCTCTGCTTTATCGTAATCACCTCGTACGGCCTTCGGCCTAACCCCGTGACAAGATGGAACCAAGGGCAGTGTAAAGTAAGTGTAAAGTAAGGGGGGGAAATGTATAAGGGGGAAAGGAGAGTAGGAAGAAAGGATAGTAAAAAGGAAAGGATAGTACAAAGAGGAAAGGACAGTAGAAAGAGGAGAAGATGGTAGATAGCAGACATAATGGCACATGGAATGGAAGAAATGGGGGATATAAATAGGAACATGTTTGCAGGAAGCCCGTCCAATCCATCTTGGAGAGGGATCGAGGGAACATCTGGATTACTCACGTAGTGCAATACCTCCAGGAACTGCTTTTCCCTGAGCCATAAAAGTGCCCATCTCACAAGATCGGAAGGACCTTTGCCGTGGTACTTTATAACTTTTACTACGATATCCCCCAGGAGTTCCGAGTGGCGGCCGAGGAATACGCTAAGTCAGTGCACCCCCTGTCCGCGCACTCTGTAAGCCCACAACATGGAATCTTCTAAAGTACTCCCGCCCTCCTATTTCCGTCAATTCTAATCCGTTTTCCTTACTTTTTTCTGCATTTTAATGCCCAAATGCCAAAGAAGCGGTATATAAAAGAAGACGTTAAGCGAGCCTTTGATGCGGTGCGCACAAAAGGAGGGATCCGGAGGGCCGCCCGGCTATATAGGATCCCAAAGTTTACCTTTAGGGGTTGCATAAAAGGCGCCTTACTTATTTAGCAATTACAAAAGGAGTATTAACGGATAGCCTTTAAGCAGGAAAAGCGCTTAGCTAACTGGATTTTATTACAAAATTCTTTAGGCCTTTTACCAACGCACGCGGAAATCCGGTTTTTTGCCGAAAATATTTTCCGCAACGGAAGGCCTTTTTAGCCGTTTGGGAAGCATTGAATATAAGCTTTTTTAAGCCGGTATTTAAAAATCCGTACCGGGAAGGCCCGGCGGATAAAATTTGTACGGGTTTAAAAGGTTATTATTAATATAATAAAGCAATGGTAAAAACGCTTCCTTATCCCGGAAATGGCCGTTATTAAGCCGGAAAATACGTATAACGCTAATAAGGGTAATTTGCAAAAGGGAAAAACCGGTAACGGGATCGTTTTAAGCCTTGCTAAAGCCCGGGCTTTGCAACGTAAAAACCTTGGGTTACGCATTTGAACCTTTTTTATCGAATGCATTTCGGCTACGAAAGTATTATTGCTTTTTTTTATTATTTTTAAAAGGAAAAGCGTGCAAAAGCAATGGTTTTTTGCAAATTTGGCCCTTTTTTAAAAGTGGGAGTTTATTGCTACAAATAACGGCTGGACCAATAATTGCACGGGCTTAAAATGGCTGCAAAAGGTTTTTATCTTTCGCACTAAACTTTTTTTTTTTGCTTTTCGCCTTTTGATTTTGGATAAGCACGAATTGCACGTTATTACAAAATTTATGCTTTTATGCTTTCGGAACGACATTTTCTTATTTTATTTGCTTGCTTACACGTCCTACGTGCTGCAGCCTTTCGACCTTGCCGTATTTAGCCCTTTAAAATAAGCATATCGGAAGGAAATCGGGTTTAAAGCCTTATTTACTTGCTTAACGGTGGTAAAAAAGCGCCAATTTTTATCCGTTTATTACCACGTACGATCCGTGGCCTTAATTCCCCATATAATTTTATCGGGGTGGCGGGCCTTTGGCTTATGGCCTTTCAACATGGCCAAACCCTTTATAAATCGCTTTATTTTTAATAATGGTGGCCAAAACAGCCAGCAAGCCCAAATTTAACAATTTGCAAAGGATAACAAAGCCAAAAAACGTTTAACGATTTTATCCCGAACGTTCCAAGTGCTATAAAAAACCCCCAAGCGATCGAAAAAGTTGGCCACCCAGATTAGCATTATTAAGGCCCGCTTTCCCGTAAGCCTTACAATACGACTATTTTTTAAAAAGCTTTAAAAAAGTTACAGCGGGCACGAATACGATTTGGCTAAGGCCCGGCAAAAAATCAAGCAATTAAAAGGCCAATTAAAAGCATTACAGCTTTGCAAAAAGAAAAGGGTGGCCGCGGATCCTAACGAAGCTTTTGTGGATATCCGTTAAATTGCTGCAACGAGGGGGGAAGATTTGCAAGAGGGAAATAATGCGTTTAAAAGCCCGAACGAATTTGATTAGGATTTAGTTTCGTTTTGCATTGAGGTGGCTTGAATAGAGGTAGAAATTTGCAGTTAAATGTAGTAGGTTTGGTGTTGATCGGATCCTTACAGAGTGCGCGGACAGGGGGGTGCGCGGACAGGGGGTGCACTGACTTAGCGGTTAACGTACTTGCGCTATACTAGAGGCGATTCAAACGGTAGCTAGCCGTATCTCACGGAGAGGCCGCAGTAGCAGCAGCACTGCTGGCAAAAAATTGGCGCCCCGCTGCCCCCCAGTAAGCGATCCTGTTCGGCATCCCTAACGAAGGCTAGCGGGGACGCGGCAAGCTGCATCTGACTCACCCAGCTTCGCGGATTCGCCCTCATGCCCCAGATCGAATACTCCGGGGCAAGAAGAAAACTAAATGATAGATACAAGTTGAAGATTCCCGGAATCCCAAAGCTGTCCCTCCATCATGCCATCAATATAGGCCGGGCCCAGCATAGTCCACGAGTTTGGATCTTTCCCTTGCGGTCTCAAGATCATTGGCCGGTCAACGCCGCTGCATACGAAGATAGCGTCCCCCTCCCGTATTAACATGTTTGCAGAGCCCAAGAATCCGTGCTTGGTGACAAAGAGCAGCCGGTCGGCATTGAACATCCATATGGCATGATTCAATGCCGACGTTTTGGGGCACATCTTTAGTGCACATAGCGTCTGCCACTCCTCCTCGTCCTGGCATCTCGTCATCATGAAGCGGAACCAAAGGTTGCGCCGATGCTCTTTGAAACCTTTCCGACGTTCGAGCCTCCAGTTTGCTTCCATGAAGGCGTGGGATCTGTCCTGCCTCTTGTCTATCAGGTGCATCCACGAAAACATGGCGGCGGGCGGATAGCACGCTTGCTGGCGGAGGGTGAGGACCTTTTCCAGTGCGCCCACCACGCCTTCGCACGAGCCGTACGTCGCCCACAGGGAATCGATGTGCTTTTCAACGAGTGCATTCCATTCCCGATAGGCCCGGACGGTTTCTTCAAACCCCCACTCGAGATTGACAAAGTCGCCGTCCTCGACGAGGGCTGGATCTCCCGAGGGCTGCCAGATGGTGCGCGTAGTTTTCTCCTTGATCGTGTCGACGAGGACGCCGACCATCCGCAGCACACGGCCGTCGTTGCTGAAGTGGAAATCTAGCACCGAGTCGGACGAAGCTCTCAGGCCGCTCGGGGCCCAGTTGTCTCCCATCCGAAAAGGGCCTCCGTAGTCGGGAACCCAACTTGGCTGTCTCGGGATCGTTGCCGATGTCGCGGTGTTGTTGCTTCCTGCGACGAGATTTAAAAGGCTCAGCGAGTTTGTTGCTTGGCAGGCTTCCCTGGTAAATTCCAAGTAGACCTGTTCCTTGGTCTTGTTATAGTCGACCCCGGATAACCTGATGCCGAGTCGCTCCAGGACGCCGTATAGCCCGTAAACCCGGTCCTTTGGTTCGGTGACGTGGCAGGCACGGCAGCAAAACAGGAGCAGATCGAGTGAGGGTTCAGAACGGGAGAACGCCCTGCGGTCGAGATGGCACGTCACCAGATACGCCCAGGTCGTATAGTTGTAGATGTACGCATCCTCCTGGTAGAGCTTGTGCGAGGAGGAGAAGTTGAGGAGGGCGATGGCCAGGCAGTTCATCGGCATCTCGAACCTACCGCAGTTGACGAGTAGCGGGCACATGGAGGACCACGATGAGTCGGGGGCGAGGACGGACTCCTGGATGGTCCAGACACGTCGCCACCAGCTGCGATGCAACATGGCGAGGAAATAGGGTGTGTGGCCTCGGGCTTATATATCGTTAGCTTGTTTCCCCGTACTACGGCTCCGAGCACAAGTCGGGATGCTCACCTGCGATGATGCCATGAAGTCGTCTTGTCAACCAAGTCCTTGCTGGTTCGGGGAAGCACAAGCAGCACCAAAACAGCCACACGTAGCTGAAGACGAGCCCGGTTCCCTCGGCGGGGAGGCCGAGCCAGACGTTCACCAGGTATGCGCGCCCGTAAATCTCCGTCATCAGAGGAACCTGGATGGCTTTCTCCTCGAGGGACCCCTGGTCGATACAAATGGCGTCGATCCAAATAAATAGTCGGGCATGCCTCAACATTTGGCGTAGTATATCCTCGCAGTTTTTCGTGATTGCCAACTTCTTGCCGCCGCACAGGATGTAGCGGTCGAACCTTTGGCCGTCCCAGCTGTAAGAAATCGCCCGGTACGAGGAAATAAGACTTGGCTTGTCTAGGGGAACAAGGAGCAGATCGCATTCGATAACGCTGTCTCGCAAGCCCAAGACGCTTGGCTGCTTGAGACACAGGATCCGAATGTGCCGCTCACTAGGGAGCGAGACATATGTGTAGGCCTCTTGCGGAAGATCCCCTTTGGCGCGTGGGAGGTAGCCATCCATGGGCTCGCCAGCGGCCGAGTCGCGGTTCCAGCGGAACGAGAGCTGATAGGCAATGTTGTAGGTGGCGCTGTAGAGGACTTGCATGGCGGTGAAAACTCCGCTCAGCACAGGCAGCAGCAACCCCAAGCACCACGCGAGGAGCCGAAGGCCGCCAACAAGCAGCTGGTAGGAAGCGTTTTCGATCGGATCCCCAGCCATCTTGGCAGTTTGAGGTGGTTTGCGACTTGGGTGGTAAACCCAAGATCGTGGGACAAAAGAACAGAACAGGGTGTGGGTCGTGGAGTCCTAGATTCGAAGGTTTGGCCGACGACACCTGTTTCCCCGAAGAATCTTCTTCCGCGACCAGAGACGAGGCTCCACGGGATTCCCCGTCGGTGATGTCCTGAAAGAGATTGCGAGGCGCTCGGGGCTGAGCGGCTGAAACAACCTTTCTCTCTCTCGGTGGCGCCAACCTGGAAAAGGGGTCTGATGCCCCATCGGGGATCTGGTTCCTTTCAAAAGGCTCTCCTTGCTACGGCGCTGCACGCCTCGCGAGGAACCCAACTCCATCCTCCATCACCGTTCGCGACCTCTCATTCCCCTATTAGAAGTCGATTCGGCCGTTCGAGAATTGGGGTTTCGATCGGCAGCAATGGAGGAAGTGACCTTCTACCACCAAACACCTGGCTCATTCAACCGCAACACCATTGTGCGCAACTGCTGGGTGTCGATCCTCCATGCACTGCTGATGCGGTTTGTTTGGCGGGCGGGATTCATCGAGTCCGTGGTGGCATTCAGTTTTATGCGACCCGTCCATTCTACTCATCTGCTCAGCCTGTCGGTGGTGGCCATGTTCGGCATTGACCCTCACGACCAAGCTGAGGTGATGGGAAGCCCGCCAGACCTGGACAAGGCTGTTGCCGCCCTGTTCTCATACGTCGGAACACTCACCGCTCTCCGCCTGCTCAGCATTGTTGCCTCGCTCGTCTTGATGGCGATCTCCTTTGCCTGGCGCCACATCGTCCTTTTCGTGGTCGCTCTGGTGTCGATGGCTGTGTTTGAAGGAGCCGCCGAGCTTCTCGGCGGGTTCCTTTTTTTTCTCGCCGCATCTGTCGGTGCGGCTGTCGGCCCGGCTGTCGTTACTCTTCCGGCCCGGATCGTGGCTTGGGCCACCTTTGTGTGCGGTTGGTTTGGGCGCTCGGTGGCGAGGAGCGGGATTCTGCAAAGAGCCCTCGGCGAAACGCCATACCCTGAGCTCCCTGCTTTTGAATACTCGCCCATCGACCCTGCCAAACAAGTTCGACTTTTGGAGATTGAAAGAGCCATACCTTTTTCAATTCCTCGGGCCAGGTTGATCACCTACAACATCGACAATCTACCACCATTCGAAGCCGTCTCCCTCTGCAAATCCGTGCGGCCCAGTGCCGCGTGCCCTATTATCCTGAACGATAAAAAAGGGCTCGTTGACGGGCAGGTTGATGCGCTCCTCCACCGCCTGGGGCGCATGCTTAGGAAAAGAGTGGTTTGGATTCAGCCCATTTGCGCCGACGATGCGGATCGGCAAGAGCGGGCGTCGGAGCCTGTTCACACGAGTATCATGTACCGCGAGGCATTCCGGGTCCTTGTGTGGATGGGCGAGGGGCGCCCGGTTGTGGCAGCGGCGGGACTCATCCTAGGGTTGGTACAGGTTCTGTGGAAGGCTAGCATGGGGGATGCCGTCGCCTACTTTGGCCGACTCTGCGTGGGTGACCGAATCCTGTTTGAGGACGACATGCTCGACGGTTTTCTCGAGTTCCTGGACCACCCCTGGTTCGAAGATGTTGAGAACTTTGACAGGGTGATGAGGAGCAGGCAGGTCACTTTTCTGATGGGCAACACGCCCATTATGGCGCAAACTATGTCTTTTGTCGGCGGCATTCTCGGGGCTTGGGACCGCGGCACCCTTTTGGCAGTTCTCGCCCAGACGGGAAAGGCTATTCGATCACCCCCCGCGGGACTCGATCCACTGATCACTCTCTCTGTCATCTGCCGCCAGCCATTACGGGACCCGGAGATTGCCAATGCCCCTCGGTAGGGAATGTTAGAAAACACGGTCCCACCTTGGCCTCCATGCGCTGCCGTGGCCGGAGCCGGGGACCAGCAGTTATTTACAGCTCGGTCATGCCATCTTCGGGGTACGGGCAAGAAAAGCACTGGATATGACTGTGTATTCACCTAGTATTAGGGGAGGCGGCAAGCAACAAGTTCTAATGCTTAGAATTCACCTCACTCCCTAATTACCCCCGCCCAACGGTGCCCTACCTCTTGTGAAACTCTCCAACTTTGGCCACCAAACCGGCCTTGGGCGTCGGCGCCACGGATCTTTTCGCCTGCCCTTGACAGCCCCCGCCACCGAGCTCTTGGGTGGCTTAGGTTCGAAGCCGAGGGGGGTATGGTCGCAGTGGCGGTCAGGGGGTTGTAGACTTCAAATAGGGGATGGGTCAAGTCCTCCACACCAACAAAACAAAATACATACGAAAGACAAAAGGTCAAAAAACAAGGAGGTTTGGGATCCGAAAATGGGCGCCTCTCTTCCTCCAACGTTATGAGTGTTGTCCGGGTTGAGACAACGGCGGGCCCGGGCCGAGTGGTGATACCCCTGGACTCCCGTTTGTACCAAGCCCACAAAAAACAAAAACAATCTTGCAAAGCCCCACTCCTCCCCTCCCAATTGCTCACACCCCAAAATGCAGATACCCAGCCACCCTGCCCAAAAAAAAGTCCGGACCGCAATTTATTCCCCACCACCACAAAAAAAAGAGCCCATTCAATCTGCAGTCATTTTACCCTCTGCATCTATGATCCTCTGTAGGATATTTGGTATCTCGTCCACCTACGCATTGATCCAGGCCTGGGAAAGGTTATTCCAGCCCTCCTTTGCAGTGCTTTTCAGCAAATTATCATCCCAAATAGCCAATTTCCTTATAGCGGCTTTAGGGGCCTGCCAGGCCTTTTCAATAAGAAGGATATTAAGGGAATGGGTGCAATTAAAGTAATGCCGGAGGTTGTGCTTTTCCTTCCAGGTTTTAACAATATTGCTTTTGCTTCCTCCATGCCCAGAATCGTTATCTTCTTCAAAGACAAAGTCCTGGCCGTCCCGCAGCCAGGAGCCTATTACAGGTTCCAAAATCTCGTTCCGATACGTGCGCAAGGTCATTTTCCCGTTGGTAATGCCAGTGTCGTACCAAACGAAAGGGCTTTTAAAGTTATATCCAACAGCAGCCCAGGCGTGCACCCGACGGACATTTTTTTTAAGGGGGCTTTTTTTTTTTGCACGCAATTTGGGCAATTTCTTTCCCAAGGCCGGCGAATGATATAAAAACGTCCTTTAGCCCCCCAGCCGAAATAAATTTCGTTGGAAAAGCGGACGTGCCGCCAATTTTGGGGCCTAGGATATTTGTCGAGCATTACTTTAGCGTATTCGATTCGCTATTGCGCCAGGCGTAAAAGCACGTAGCTTTTTTGGCAAGCCAGGCATATCCGAAAGCCGGCTTTTTTTATTGTAATGCAAATCGTTTCGACGGAAATTTCGATATTAAGGCCGGCTGCGCTCGGGAAGGCGGCCCAATCGAAGTTTTAGCCGTCCCACCCGTTATTAACGATTGCTTATTCCATTTTTTAAATATCGGTTTCGGAAAATAAGCGCTTTCGGCCGCGTGTTTTTTTATAATTTAAATGGAAAGTTCGAAGGTCGAAATTGCAATTTTGGGCTAAAATTTCCCACCCGGAAGTTTTCGATACTCTTGCAAAGCGAAAAACGTTATTGTGGCTATAAGTAGTGCCTTTTGCATTAAAATAATTACAAATCCCTTAAACGCGTGTTTTTTTAGGTGTAGAATGCGGCGCGGGCATATTGTTTGGCTTTGGTGCTGGTGCAATTATGTTGGGAAAGGTAAAGTTTGGGTGGGGGAAAAAATTTGCGGTCCGGACTTTTTTTTAGGCAGGGTGCCAGCCCACCTCAACGGCTGCATCCGCCACCCGTACCGCACGCGCATGACTGCCTCCCGTAGCACGCCCGCAACAACCCCATCGTCCAGCCCCCCGGGCGATCACGCTCTTCCGACAACCCCCGATAAACCCCGTCGCTATCTCTACCGACGCCTTGTCCTCAACGGGCCACATACTTGCGATGACGTGCGGGAACCCCGCCACCTGGAACCCCGACGCAACGTGCAGCAAAGCACGGGTGTCCATGGTAGGCCCCGCCCCACGAAACCGAGCCTGCGCGTGCTGCCGCTTCTGCCGCTGTTTGTTTCATGGCGACCTGCTACCGGCCCAAACATCCAAGAAACCGCTAACCAGATCGCCATCCTCGCCGGCCATCCAGTTTCGACATCAACCCTTCGCGACAAACTCCGTTGGCTTACCCTCGCTTTAACATGCCGCGACCGCCCCCGCCGGCTGCCGATGTTGCCGCTGCCAACCAGTATTTCGAGGCCATAAGGAAAAGGCGCCAGCCAGCATGGATAACAATTTCGCCCGCTGTTGCTCCGTTTTTTCGCACGAAAAGGCAAATTGTTGATTAAAAATTACAGCCGGGTCCGCCTCCGCAACTCCAGTCCCACTTAGCCCACGTTCCGCAACTCTCGTCGGTTGGGTAAGTGCTCTCCACCTCGCCTTGCGACTTACTCCTGTCCCCCCGCCTCTGAAACGCCCCGACCGCGAGCAAAGGGCACCGACGTGAACGCCTTTGCGTACGCTGGCATCTCGCATCTCCGAAGCGGCCTGCAAAGCCGCCATGCCAACGCCCTATTTTGGCCCTGGCCCCTCCCTTACCCCAGAAAAGGGCGAGGGCAACGAGAGGAGGAGCCGCCGCCGCTCAAACACAGCCCCCACTGGCCTAAATATCGAGTCGGCACCCGCGGCAGCAGCTAATACGAGATCCCGGTTGGTGGTTCCGGTGCGCAACCCCGCCATCGGCCGACTAGGTATTGTTCCGCACCCCAACACATCCACCGCCTAAACCACAGAGCCTACGCCATGGGCCCCAGCGTTTGGGTGGCATTCCGAAGAACCAATCCTAAGGAGCTGGAAAACCAAGTCTAGGATGTAGATGGAGAAGTTCTGGTCGACTGAACAGTCTCGAAACTCCCCGGTTGCAAGTGAGCCCATACATTCCCGCACACGTCAGCATCGCTCACAAGGGCGAGGGAGAATTCCGCCTTCACGCAGAATATTCCATAGCGCCCTGTTTCAACCAGGGTCGACTGTGATTCTCTGCCGCCAAAGGCCGGGGCGACTTGTCCGTGGAGGCCCAGTGTAAGCAAGGCCCTGCGTACGCGGGGAAACCCGGTCTTGGCAAATGCAGATTTCGGCTGGCATGCCAGCCCATCAAACGAGCGACAGCCGCATAAGAGGCGTCTGGCGGTGAGGCTTGAGCACATGCAATCCGCGCATACCCTCTTCGGGTCGAAATGGACGCAAGAATAAGCCCAGCTGTCTACCCGACACACGCTATAAAGTCGGGCGGAGAGCTACACGGAACCCCGCCCTCTCTGACAGCTGGGCGTTCCGGCATGAGCTGAGCAGAGCCCATCTCGGCTTCGTGCATGCGTTAGCTGGGACGCCCTCGACCCTTGAACCAACAATCGGGGAGAAAGCCTAGCAATGGGAACTCCGGTGGGAAAAGCATACATATGCTGTGATAGCTGGCGCGCAAGTGATCAGTCAGTGGGGACCCTGGCAACCAACGGCAGGAAAAAGAAGCTGCACGTTGCGGCACGATGTGCATAGCATCAACTGCAGCCTGCCTGGATAGCGTGAATGTGGCGGCCTCAGTGGCGCCGTGGGCGGATATCGGTTACGGAAGCCATGGGCAGCAGAAAAGCTCGTGGGAGCGCATCAGGGTAAAAGGCCTATAAATCCGCCAAGTCCTCCTCAGGAGATGAATGTGGCATTCTCTCACAGCACAGTCGCCTTGAGCAGAGCAACACAGAACACCGTCTTCAGAGGTATCCATTCTGTCATTTGCAAAGTCCCGTACGCGCCTTGGACAATGCATTCGTTTGCCACCACCGCCGCTCTCCTCCTCGGGAGCATGGCGGGCAGGGCACTGGCGGCCACCGCTGTCATCCCCGCTGACGTCCCCTTCGCCACCCCGTGGGTCGCCGTCAAGGTGCCTGCGGACTACGTGGGGGACGACGACGACGCCACCAACGCGACGGAGATCGCGGAGCTGAGGCGGCGCGACATCCGCGGCGCGCTGCCGGTCCGCGCGCTCGCCATCGAGCACAAGTTCCAGCCCGTGCTGGACTTTGACAAGGACGGCTGCTACTACACGTCCGCCATCGACCCCAACGGGAACAGGAACCCGGGCCTGGGGCCCGGCCAGGGTGTCCCGCCCAACTGCCTCAGGTCCACCTGCCGCGACCCCAACCGCCTGCAGAACAGCAACGTTTACAGCCGGGCGCGCTGCAACAACGGCTGGTGTGCCATCATGTAAGCCGAGGATCCTAGTCGACAACGGCGGATCCTAACGCCAAATTCCACCCATCCTAGAAGCAGGAGAGACTAACAGTCGGTGCCCAGGTACGAATACTACTTCGAAAAGGACCAGGTCGTTTGCGGCAGCTTCGTCGGCGGCCACCGGCACGACTGGGAAAACATCGTGGTCTTCGTGCGGGACAACCAGGTAAAGCGCGTGGCGCCTTCGTGCCACGCCGAGTACAAAAAGGCGACCAACTCGCCGCGCCTGGAGGGGCAGAGCGCAAAGGTCGTGTACCACAAGGACGGCGCGCGCACGCACTGCTTCCGCTGGGCGACGGCCGCCGACGACAAGATCGAGAACTACACGGGCAAGTGGTTCCACGGCAAGCTCGTCGGCTGGCTCGGCTGGCCCAGCGTCGGGCTTCGCGACAAGGCCATGAAGCCCTACGACGGGCCCAACGCCAAGTTGCCAGACGGGCTGTTTAAGGAGTACCTGGGCAGGGCGGCCGGCGACCAGGTGCCTGGGTTCAAGCCTGACGTCGACGGTCCGATTCCCAACTGGGCCTAGGTTGGTGCCTGGCATGGATGGCGGAAGAAAGATGGTTGCGTGGCGGATTTTCGTATGGGTTGGTTTAATGATAGATTGGGGCAAAACTGTGTGGCTTGTGGCTGTTTGGCGTGGTTTTGGTCGTGTGTCGCCTCCAAGACATTCAGCAAGATTATGGGCAGGTTCTATGGATTGGACAATTTCGTATTCTATCGGCGTCTTCCCAGTGTCCCAGGTTTATCTAAAAGAATAGGGGGTCTTGTGCTCACTTATCCTTCTCTAACGAGGTGGTAATTTAGCCCAACGACGACCAATCGAGTGGCACAAAGCGGCCCTCTCGTGAGAAATGACGTCGCCTGGATCCTCCCCCACAGAGCTTGTTTGTTGACGTCGGGAAATAGGCAGCATATTTGCTTTGTGTCAGCCTTAAACGGTGCCGGCTGTGCCTGGCGCCGCTTGGCACATTCCCCATGCGGCAATTCATTGGCCAGTGTTGATGTCACGCCAGAATGCCTGCGATCCTTCTGCGACTGCGCCTGGTCCGCACGACCAGCGATCGTTCTCCGTCACTCTGGACTGCGGACTCGATCCTAACCTGTAGCCGGTGGCCTCCAGCTGCACGGCAGTGAAGGCGACTTCTCTCGTCGCGTTATGTCATGCTATCTTGGCTGTCTCGTTGGGATCCGTTTATATCAGTGTCGTCTTGGTCGCCCACACAGTGACGATGGAGTCAGGTTAGTTTCTCCCTACTCGCAACGGGGAAAGCAGCAAGTACCACAGCCACAAGCCTCTGGTACGCCTTCGACACTTCAAACCGACCAGCAATAGCTTATAGGGGCCCCAGGCACCACGACGCGATGCACCTCCCTGTCGGGCTCCGCTTTCCCAGCCCCGGCGTCCATTATCGAGGGGCGCGGCGTCCTTGAGCACCTAGCCAACGTCCGGCGGCAGCCCTCGAACGGGCCCGGCCCCTCCCAGGACCTCGAGAACGCCTGGAACGACTTCCAGGACACCCGCAACGCGGCGCGGACGGGCATCACCGTCATCAGCGTCGGCGCCATCGTCGGCATCATTATCGGCGCCGTCGCCTTCATCGCCCTCATCGTCGCCATCTGCCTGCTGTGCAAGCGCCGGAGGCGCGTCGCCCGCGGGGCCGGTAGCGCCGCCAACGAGTTCCGTTACGGTGCCGGCTGGGGCGGCGGGCACAAGGAGGGGCACCCCTACCCCCACCACCACTACGGCGGGCACCCCAACCCGGTTGTCAACAATGTCAACCCGGCAGCGCACACAACCGTGCCAGCCGCGTCGTACGGGGCGGCGCATATATAAGCCGGACGATTTCGTACAGCACAGGTGGCATTGGGCAAAGAAGAGCTGGACAGTTCTACGCCGGTCTCGGGCAACGGGTTGGTAATTCTGGCTTCCTCCTGGCTTCTCCCCACAATTATCGGGCTCGCAAAAAACAGGGCGCAAATCTAGGTGTTTCTTTTTCCTATATATACCGCCCTCGTTTGGGCATCACGAGTAACGATATAATAGTGTTTTATTTATTTATAATCTTGTTCATATAGCGTCCTTAATTTGAATACTACAAATAGGTATCCAACTTTATAAATTTATTGATATACAATTTCCCCGCCTTATCCCCCGCGGCGCCCGCGCAAACGGCCAAGGGTATAAAATGCTCCGCCCCGTTTAGCGGGTGGCTAACGTAAGCGTGCGGCCAATTGCGCCAGCCCGCAAATTTATCCCTTTTTTTTTTTTAACGCGCTTGGTAAGCGCAGCGTTCGTTATAACGGCGTTTTATGCCTTGTGCAGTTTGGTGGATTTGGCGTTGGACCTGGCTTTGCCGGCAAATATTTTACGCAGGTTGTAAAAAAATGCAAAACCGTTGCTTACAACGGTAATGTTGCGCTTTTTGCGTAAAGCGGCCAGCGTACTGTTACAGTCAGACCTCTGCTCCTAAGGTAGGGCACCAGAGGAGTATCGAACAGTAGCACGTGACTTGACAACTGAGGGGATTCACAAGGTAACTTGGGTGCGGTCTGAATGCTTGCTCCAAGGGTTACTTGGAAGCTAACTAGAGATTGACTGATGCCGGTGCATCTATCAAGAACTACCTAAGACAGTAGAAACCCCTCCTTCTTATATCTGGACCGCTTGGCCCTGGATGCCACAGGAGGCCCTGATCCCTCTGATCAGGGCTGATAGCATCGACTGTCACTGATCATCCCCTCATTGCCCGTGATCAACCTAACCCCGATTGATCACTACTGATCAGTCCTTAACCCCGATGTCACGTGACTTCCCCCAACTTGCTTTCTTCCTTCAAGGAGGGCGGGGTCTGCCACCCTCCACGGGCTGTTGGTCGTAACACGTACAGCTTAATACAAAATACGCGCGCGCATTATTACTTTTTATTACGGAAACCTGCAGAACCAATACGTTAACAGCGGAGTGCGCAAGCAGCAGCGGTATAAATACGCCGTAATTGTAGCCCCGGTCCGGGTTGTTAAAGCGCAGGATTTCGGGAACGCGCTTGCGTATAAATTTAGTCATTTGGGCCAATTCCGGGTGGCCCAGCAGCGGCATAAAGCCGCCGCCGTGGGAAAAGGCGATGACGGCTCCGCGGGGCATGATGGACGATTGCGGGACGAGAGCCGGGGCATGGCAAAGGTGCTGCTGGCAGGGGTGAAAATGGCGATTGAAAAGGCGGTGCGGCGAGGAGGTGGTGGGCCTCACAGGGCACGTAATATACCCCCCAAAAATGGACGACGAGATGACCAAGCTGCGGCAATGTCCCCAGAGCATTGGGAGATGAATTACTAAACTTGGACGTCAGCGCGGTCGCGACGGCGCCCAAATTCAGCGGAGGCACGCTATAAATCTTGCCGCGCGGTTGCCTCAAGCGGAATGGCTTTGACTCGTAATGCTGACAAATTGGATCCCACCGGCACAGGGAAGTGGGATAAAACCGCCTGCTGCCAGCAGAGCTCTTGGCCGTGACTTGCGAATGAAGCTTAAATCAACGTCGTCCATGGCCCACGAACGACGCGCTAGCATCGGCGAAGACGCGAAGAAGCCAAGAAAAGAAACGAACATTTCCTGGCCCGCTTTTAATCCATCCTCGCATCACCTCTTCCCAACCAACGTCACCTTCCCAACCCGTCGCAAGTCTCACATCGGGGCAGCCGTCACGACCGCCGCCGCCGCCTCCGGAACCCTGGCCACCGTCGTTGCGGGCTTGCTCCCCCAGGCCGGCCGCTTGCCGCTCGCCTTCGCCAGCACGGCCGACACGCTAGAGTACGCCGGCTTGGGCCTAGCTTGCTTGTCGTACAGGTTCGCGTCGCCCGTGCCCCTGAACGTGCCGGGGACCCAGCTGTGCGCGTCGCCGAACCCCCACACCGTGATGCCGACGCAGCGAGGCACGTCGAGGCACGAGCCCACGACGGCCTCGTACTCGCGCCCCTGCGCGGCCAGGCTGCCCGCGGTCGAGGGCAGCGGGTCGATGCGCACGTCGAGCTCCGTGTAGGCCACGTCGAGCCCCAGCGCCGTGTACTTGCCGAGCGTCCACGTCAGGTTGGCGCGCGCGGGCGTCCTGCCCACCGTCATGTGCGCCTGCAGGCCCACGCCGTCGATGCGCGCGCCCGCCGCCTGCACGAGCTTGGCGATCCGCACGGCGCCGTCGGCCTTGGCGGGGAAGTACTCGAGGTTGTCTGGTTCGGGATTTTCTGGTGAGCTCTTCGTGCTTTTCTTTTCGCGTTGCTTTCGTCGTCGGAGAGGCCAGCGTGCACAAGGGGATGGAAATCGGGTGGGAGGGACATACAGTCGTTGTAATACAGCTTCGCGCCGGGGTCGGTGGCTGCTGCCTGCTTGAAGGCAAGGGCGAAGTAGCTGTCGCCGAGGACACGGTAGAACACGCTGTTGCGGTACGAGCCGTTGTCTTCCAGCGCTTCGTTGACGACATCCCACGCGTAGCACTTCCCCTTGAAGTGGCCCATCACGTTGCTGATGTGTGAGTTGATCACATCTGTCAGGGTGCTCCTGTTCCAAGATCCGGATGCGACTATTAAGAGTGAAGTTAAACAAGATGTTGCCGAGGAAGCCTGGCTCAACTCAAGGTTGCCTACCCCACCCCGGCAGCTGGCTGTGCCACACCAGCGTGTGGCACCGCATGATCTGCCCGTTCTGCGTGGCCCTGCCGATGGTGGCGTCGGCCTGGCCGTACGAGAACCGGCCCTTGCTCGGCTCGGTGGCGTCCCACTTTTGCGCGTTGTCGGGCGTCCACTGGCCGAACATGTTGGGATCGCTCGCGAGCTTGTAGTAGGGGGCATCGTTGACCTCGCTGGGGTTGAAGGATGTGCCAAAGTACAGCAGGCCGGCGTCTTTGGCCAGCTTGTTGAGCATCTGCGCCCATACGGCGCCAGAGCTGGCCAGAACGGCGGCGAGGAGCGTCGTCGAGCGCATTGTGGGGGAGGCTTGCGCTTGTAGAGTGCCGTCAGCTGTCGTAGACACGCAGGGTAGAAGCCCCGTGGATCGAAGCGGGCGACACGTCCCCCAAGCCCTCATATACGCCAAGCGCCTTGACCTCCTGCTGCTTGCATATTCCCCATCTATCTCCAGTCACCATATCCGCAACCCGATCTCAAGGCAAGAGCAACGCGGGGAGATCTATAGCAATCCCGGGATTTCAATATCAGTCAGGGGTGGAATTGGAGCGCCAAGGTTAGACAATCTATTGGATCGTGATTCTCCGGTAAAATGCCGAGAGGTAGGGGAGATCGATCTGCGGGCCGCCGGGTTCTATCATGCCGCAGCACCGACTTAATAATTATCCAAGGAGGTAAAAAAGCCTCCAACCCGGATACAGTATTTGGTTGGGGAGGATGGGGACCGGCGATGAAAAGCCGGGGCAGCAACAAAAGAGTAAGCACTCGTTCATTGAGAGAAACACGATGAGAAGCGCAAGTGGAAGCGGAGCCGACGCCCCGAGCTAGGCGGAGTTCTTCATCCAGGCTAACAGGTGAAGCCGGGAATAAACGTGGCGGGTTTGCTGTCTATCGACACAAGGGATTTCCATGCAGGCTAAATTCACGGATTACTTTTACCTGTCAAATGAAGCCATGGTTCCGCATATTAATCCTCGTCTCTGTTGACATGGCTCATGTCGCGACCGTGATGGTTGGAAGGATAATTAAGCCGTGGCTGGATTGCTTCACCCCACGGGAATTTCTTCTTTTCTTTCTCCTGTCTTTCCCCTCCACATGCCTCGCCCGCGTGTTCGTACCAACTTTAACCCGGCAACGCATCTGAACCAAACCTCCCTCGGCAGACCTCGGGCCAGCGCACCCTTCACAAATGCGGCAAAAACGCCCATGTCGCTACAAAGCTCTCCTTGGGCTGATAATACAGACTGCGAGCCGCCTCAACCATCATATACAACCGAGCCAAGACGTAAACCCCCTCGCCCAAAAGCACGATCCCTTTCAGCACTTTGCCCGGCTGGAACTTTGTCCTCTTCTTGCGGCGCACTCCGTCCAAATGGTCGTCCAACAGCATAAAACCCGCAATGGGCATCGGGACCACAAGCAAGGTCCCACACGCGACCCTCCAACCGACCTGCTCCCCGCGCGTCGGGAAATGCGAGTTCCAGCAGGCGAAGTGGACAGACCCAAAGACCATTCCAATAAACGCACACAAGACAATCAAGATAGCCGCAGCGTTCTGCCCCTCCCTCTGATGCAGGTTGTCGTTTCCGATCTGGAGATAAACCCTCGGGTACCACACGGACTTTGGCCCCAGCCGTCCCATGTCTGCCATTTCGTGCACCCGGGGGTAATGCGCTGCCCGGATTCGGATGCGCGTCTTGACGTCTTTGGGCTTCTCAAAGTAGAACGCGTACGTGACGATGCTGCACGTTGCGAACGCGGCCGTCATGACCTCCAGCTGCGTGGCTGTGAGCCCGGTTGCCGCTCGGACGGCGAGCTGGATCCACAGCCATGTGACCTGCAGGATCGCGAGGCCTTTGCTGACGCAGTCCCCCTTGCTCTTGTCCATGATTTCGTCCTTTGTGACGCGGGGGATTTTGCTGACGATGCCCACGCGTCGAGCATACTCCAGCTGGATGCCGTCGACCACCCATGTGTTGCCACGCAGGGCCTTGAGGTTCTGTACGTACGACTCTGGGGAGTGAAAGCCGAGGTGTTCGGGTTTTGATGTTTCGAGGGTGTCTTGGATGAGCTGGACGTTCCTGTCGTCTTCTTTCCAACGACCTTGGACGACTTTTGGAATTTTAAAGATGACCCATTCATCGCCCTTGTGCTTTTGATAAAGAGCAAGGAGTAGTTTTCTGAGCTTATTATCGCTAGCGTTTTCTTTGGCCTCTGTTGTGCGCGGCGTCGTCCTTGGCTGCTGTTCCTCTAGTTGTCGGGGTGGCGTGTTGGACAAAGCTAGGCTTGTGGAGCGAGGGCTTTGTAAACCCGCAGGTTTACCTCCAGAGGTTTCTGCAGTGGGTTTCTCCGCCTTGTCTTGCGTCGTGGGTGTTCGGTCGTCCACTGCTGCATTGGAGCTGCTCTGGGGGACCTTCGTGTTGTCGTCGAAGTCGATTGCGAAGCCGCCCATGTTGGCCAAAAAAGCGTGGCAGATAGTCCAGTCGTCTTCACCCTCCTTGATCGCCCGGTTCATGGTGACCCGGACGTGGCGTGCGAAGTAGAGACCCATTATTGCTTTTCCGGTGAAGATCTCGGGGGCAAAGAGCGCATAGAGGAAGGAACATCCTTTCTGAACAACAAGGTAACCCTCGAGGAGGAGCCGGGCCCGGAACCTTGCCTCGCGGGTGTCGCCTTCGGCTGGGACGTTTTCGTGCAACACCACCCAAGTGCAGAGAAGAACGGCGGCGAGGCAGCTCCAGATGATGTCAATTGTGCCGCGCATATCGGGCGTTGCCACTAACCCGGCCTCGTCGTCCGGGAGGGTATAGTTGGGGTAGAAGACTTTCATCGTCGACCGGGGGGATAGCGTTGATGGGGGCGGACTTGCGCGAATGAGGACGAGATGATGCTCGTTGGGAACAGAAAGGCACATGGAGTCCAACACGGCATGTCGCCCAGAACCTCCAGGAACCCCCCTCCTCTTGAAGGTTTCCATTGCACACACATGCCCTACGCATAAAGCGAAGGGCGGTACAATCAGGACGATACCTGAAGTTGTGACACCCACGTTGATGCTGCCCAACCTACAGCGTTGTCCTTCGTGTCGGAAAGGGGTGGCTGTTCATGTTTTTCGGCATCAATGCTTGCACCTATGAGATTCCCTTGACCACGGACAACGCCTTGCCCGAACGGCGGGGGAGCCCAGTGCCACGAAATTGCACATTGGAATGCTGTTGCCCAAAACGCCACAGCGCCACAATGAACATGTGGGAGGCCTGTATTGGTTTGCAGAATCGGTCAAGCCGTGGGTGGACAAATTTTTGCGTCGGGTGCGTGAATCACTGGTGTGCCTAGGGCACCCTCCAGCCCAAAGCCTCGTAAGCGGCAGTCTCTGGGGCGAGGCTCAGGCCGTAAAGCGCAGCCCCGGAGAGCCCCGATCTCAAGGTGTTGCAAGGCAGAACGTGATCGTATTGTATAAACTGTGTTTAACTTTTGGATCTCCGGCCGCCGGACCAGCATACGATGCGGACTCGCAGGGAGGTAAATGTTACAGTCAGGCCTCTGCTCCTAAGGTAGGGCACCTGAGGAGTACTGAGCAGTAGCATGTGACTTGACAAACTGAGGGAATTCACTAGTATCTTGGGTGCGGTCTGAATGCTTGCTCCAAGGGGTACTTCGAAGCTAACTTAGATTGACTGATGCCAGTGCATCTATCAAGAACTATCTAGGACAGTAGGAAACCCTTCTTTCTTATAGCCCTCCTGGGCTACGGGCGGCTAACCTTGTCAGGGGTGATACTCGAAATCCTCAGAGTATCATGAGTATCAGTGATACTGTTGATACCCTCAGTATCGGACGTATCCCTTAGGTGTTACGTAATGGTGCGGGGCAACCCCTCCACCTAACCCGGCGGCCCTTCTTGCCTGGCCTTCTCGCCGGCTTATTAAA